AAAAACTAGATGAAAATATATTTAGTCATGAGGACGGTTTTGAGCAAGTCTCCCCAACCGTCCTCATGACTAAATATATTTTCTTCTAGTTTTTTTCACATGAATCTTTGATGACGCAACTGTTAAGGCCTACACAAAGTAATCGCTATTATGTACGCAAATTAAGAAATATCGAAGCATGTACCAACATTCTTTTTGCTTAACAATTANTTGTCCTAGATGTGTCGCTGTCACACTGCATATACATGCATAATTAATCACTATAACAAAAAACGATACCCTTTCAGCTTAAAGCCAATATATGTTTTGAAAACAAAAGATCAGCATTCAAGACAGGCCTTGATGTAGAAGAATAGAACATAGCTGATTAAAGTCTAAAACTTCTCATTTTCCGCATATTTTGCACTTTCTATTAATTGATTCATCTCAAGTAGCCTTATACAAACGTTTGATCTATTCGCCGTTGGTCTTTAAAGTTGATCTGTCGGCTCATTTCCTTTTCGCTTAATCGATCAATGGTTCGGAATTTAAAGCCCATACCAGACAAAGTAAGATTTCCAACGGCGATTCATTTTATTTATTAAGGATTCCCTTTGAGGTTTGAAGTGATGAGTTTTGTCCCTAACAAAAAGTTCGTGGGTGGAGTTGGGTGATATTTAGTATTCAGATATTAGGTATATTTAATTTTCAGATATAAGGCATCAAGTTATTTCATGGTCCCTATGAGGTAATTGAGTTCATAAATGTGTTGACGCAATAACAATATTGATAATAGATAAGTCAATGAAAAAGTATCGAATTCATACGCTAGCTACCCAAGTCAACAATATCATAATATTTTTATGGTTATTCTAAGCTAGTCTGGCCTTTTCGTTCCACTGCGCATGCATATCAACACAAATACAATTATGTGTAATCCTGATACGCCTTGACAGTCAAGCAATAACGCAACAGCACTTAGTGTCAGTTTAATTTCTGAAAACGAAAATTTATATCTATATCTATATCAATATAGAACATACTTGTCTATCCAACAGAGATTCTCCGCTCCGCTTTACTCCATTTTCCAACAATTCCTCCGTGTCGATAGGACAGGAAAGATGGAACCAAAAATGACAGGAGCTTGATTTACTCAGGTCGGCCAGAAAATTATGGCTACCTGTGTAATATGGTTGCTTCAGATACAGTACTGTCTGGACTTTCCTCGCTGTAAGTCTGGAGTTGATTAAATAAGAAAATCAGACAGATATGAAAATTGATGCGTGCCATTTGACTGGTAACTACTGGTTAAGAGCCAGCGTTCATCTGTTTACGTCCGAAGTATCAGTATTTCCATGAAGGTCAAACATGCCCGATTTTTACACAACACTAACTCCAAAATGAAGAGATATAGTAAACCTAAACGCACATGTCATCCACAGCGGCACACTTTGTACAGTTTAAAGAGTGCATTGTCTAGGTGATTATTTAATAAAGCATTGTGGTTTGATATGCAATCATCTACAGTGTCACCTATTATGCTGCAATACCTGTATGTACACGTGTGAATCATTGATACAATATAAACCTTCAGCTTCCACACAATTAATCAACTAGTATATTCATGCAAAATGCAATTATTGCCAAGTTCTACTCAGAGTTTTAACACGTGTTAATTGCAGTTCTCCCGCATTCTAATCTGTTCCTAAATTAAGCTAATTGATCCCGAGTGAATAAATAAAATATTTTTGGGATACATGTGTTACCTGCGTTATCACTAGAACATCCAAGCGTTCATTGTCTGACAAGTCTTTAAATGGTGCGCTGAGCTGAACTTACTTCACAATTCCATTCTGTTCCATTCAGTTCCATTGTATCATATCAGTAAACTGTACACAAATAATTAGCTGACCGTGCACTGATTATCGTAGTCAATAAAATCTATACGGCAACGTTATCCTACTGTACAATGTCCCGAAACTGCGCAGGTTTTTAATGTTAGTAATATCCCATAGTTGGGATGTAATTCATCTCTCACTTGAATGAATACCCTCATATTCAAATGACAATGGGAACGATAGTTTATTTACCTATCAATCATAACTATAAGGGAGTGTTGGCCGATTTCACGTCCTCCTCTATTCTTTCTGATAATAGAGATTAAGCTGAGGGAATGGAGAATGTTTTTCAGGTGTATTATCATAGCCCGTATCCAGCGCAATCTGCCGCTGTTCAGGTCGATCTCGTACTGTTTTTCAGAAATGGCACTTTTAGACAAGATTTTATAGTGGAACATGAATCTAGCAAAATAATTCGTATTTCAGCAACGTAAATACTTATTCAAAAATGATTTTTGTTCTGCAGCTCACGCAGCCGTCTCTCTCTACCATCGATGGTACCTGAGGGACGGAGCCTCATCGGAGTTGCCGTTCATTAAGTGTCCTTTAGGAGCTCCGGCATTTAGTGATTTCGCTGCTCGGGACAGAGGCGGACCAGTGTTGCCATCTTTTAGTGGAAAGCATAAGAGGTTATTATCACTGTTTTTCAAAGAGTTTTCAGAGATTTTTCGATTTATTGAACAAAGTCCAGTAATTGCTGTTAATTTCGAATTTCCCGGTAGACTTTTAGACCCCATTCCCATAGATTTTAGATCGATCTATCCCAGTGGGGAGTCTCACTGGATTAATGTCAGCTTAGCCGGCTTAAGCCTCTGTCCCGCCTACTAAAAGCTGTAAGGGGGTAAATAGCTATGGTGCGCGCTCGGCTGACTGCAATTTAGTGTGAACCCCCAGGGAGTTAGGTCGATCTAAATCTAAATCTCTGGATCGATCTAAATCTCTGGGAATGCACCCTTAGTAGTAAATTGCTTGAAAATCGCTACAGAACAAAAGATGAAAGGCTGTCATATGATTACTGCGCTAACAAACGGCGGTGGCCGCAGCAGCCACAAAACGGTGGATCTTCCAGGATTTATTTTCCACCATAAAATTTCAATGCATTACCAGGTAAAGACTACTTAGGTACTGATTTCTCCCATCGAAACGCGTTGGACACGGAAAACTCATCTTTAAACCGAGATTGAAACTCATAAACATAAAGAGTTTCTGTAGATGAATCAGACCGTACGGTACTAGAGAAATAAACTAAATAAAATTTAATGAATTACGACCTGTTCTTGCCTACCGAAGAGTGACAAGGATTTCAACTACTGTACGAAGAAAAATTAACATGTATTAACAGTATGTCACATCACAAAATGGTTATCGCCTGTACATGCTGGCATTGAGTCTATTGTTTATGATAATATTGTATGTAATTGTAGACTTTGTACTATACTAAACTTTGAAATTGTAAGTTTTCGTCATTGCCAAAATTAAAACTGTTTTTTTATTTGAGGGCTATTTACCAAAAAGAGTTGATTTGGGGAGACTTGCCCAAAACCGTCCTCATGACTAAATATATTTTCATCTACATGTAGTTTTTTTTCACATGAATCTTTGATGACGCAATTGTTTAGGCCTACACAAAGTAATCGCTATTATGTACGCAAATAAAGAAATATCACATGAATCTTTGATGACGCAACTGTTTAAGCCTACACAAAGTAATCGCTATTATGTACATATTATTGCGTAGATGAAAAAACTAGATGAAAATATATTTAGTCATGAGGACGGTTTTGAGCAAGTCTCCCCAACCGTCCTCATGACTAAATATATTTTCTTCTAGTTTTTTTCACATGAATCTTTGATGACGCAACTGTTAAGGCCTACACAAAGTAATCGCTATTATGTACGCAAATTAAGAAATATCGAAGCATGTACCAACATTCTTTTTGCTTAACAATTATCTGTTTGTCTGTAAAATATTTTTTTCTATGAAATATTCATGTGTTGTCTCACTATAGCAGTTGCAATTTACTGACATTAATTTAAATGGACAGTGTTTTATGTGAAGGACATAATTTTTCATGATTGTGCCAGAGAAGACAAATGCATAAGGCCGGCAGGTATCTCAGCCTATTGCTCGGCGATTCATCAGACTTTCTGGCTTACAATATCTTTGGATATAAAGAAAAAATGATAAAAAGCCACATTTTCAAGGTAATTATTAGCGAAAACGAAACAAGACGAAAACACAAGCATTTTCAGGATCATATTTGTATTCTGACTAATAGTATTTTGTACTAACTTTTATACAAAGTTAATGAATAAATAAATAAAATAACCAATACAATTAACGAAAAATAAATTAAGAAACTCTCTTTCGAGATCCAGGTTTATAAAAATGACTTTTCGGTTTTCTTACATGTACAATTGTTTTCTTCGCTTGGTTTTAACCGTTTCATGCGTTTAAACTTTGCTTTTAATATTCGTAATTCATGCATTTTTGCTTTTCTTTTAATACTCTAATTTTGAGCAGGAATTACATATCGTGATTAAATTACTTATAACGGTTGTACTTAGCCTTTGGACATTTTACAAGGTATGTTAAAAGACAAAAAGAAGCCTGTCCAAAACGGAAATCTCTTACTGTTACTTTTTTTGTTTTTGGACGATCTTTGAACAGTTCGGAAAACACTAGGAGAAACAACTCTATTCAAGACGATATGAGCATTTACTTCTTTATTTTTACTTTACATGTATAAACACCAGACAAGTCCTATAAGGTGGGACGTCCGTTAAATCCAGCAAACTCAGGTCATTTGTTAACAATAAACAAACAAAACAAAACAAAAATTCATGTCTCCCTTTAAGTGACACCAATGGGACTTAACATCTACGCCAGACAAATCTTTTCACTTATATGAGCAGGAATTGTTTTTAATCAAAGGTAAAATATACTGAAAAAAGGAAAGAAAAAAGTAGCTGCTGATTTCCAATCCCCTTCAAAAACCGTACTTGGCAACAGCTTACGCCTTACACAACAGCAATATTAATCGGCGTCAGAGGTCGCTGTTGTTATCACAAGCGTGTCACATGACTCAGGTGAGTACAATACACAGGTGCTTAACCGTTGAATACAAACCAGGTCAGACGCCATCTTTAAAGGGAAGTGACATTAAGTGTCGCGTAAGAAAGTTTGGGACATTGCACTATGCGGCACCGGTAAATCGTGATCGCTGATTAAATTTCAAGATATTCTGTTTCACGTATCTGGTATTAAAACCGCATATTACAAAAAAGAAGGGTGTGCAATGCAGCAGTTATAAAACTCAAAGGATAACAAAGTAAGGACAGGAAAATAAATCAAGATGGCGAAAGCTGGACAGGTCTGCTGCATAGTGTTTATGGTTCTGCTGGTGCTGTTTATGTTATCTTGTTTTGCAGTTGGTGTAGTCCTAGCCATATTCTTTGTAAAGCCATACGTTTATTCCCAATCGTTGAGCAAATCCACCTGTTCTTATATTGGCACTGAGGTGAGCGGGGCTGACTACAGAGTATGCGACATGTGTGACTATTACGAAAACGCACCGGACGAGTATTCGAGTCCCAGTTGTATCTACCCGTGTTTCGACATCATCGTATCCTATCAAAGAGGCACTAATGAGGTATTTAAATCTACGCTCTTTGATACCGTAGAACAAGACAGGAAAGCGAAAGGAAAAAGTGACCGGCTGTTTGTGAACACCAGAGCATGGGTAAGTACATGTATGCAGTATATATATATTAATTAATGCGTTTTTAAACGTTTTACGATGTTAATCGAACAGGATATTATGTGTGAAAACATAATGTCGACGTTTGTAATATTATCCTATGACTTCTACAGAGATACTGTACTTTTCAAAACACTTTTCACGTCTTTCCAAAACTACAAATGACCGTAATTAATCAGAAAGTCGATCTGCCTAAAACCTTGAGATTATCAAACCCGTTTTTAATATATATAAAATTAACATAGTTTTTACTACAGTGGCAAAAGTTAACTATGACCGTTATGTGAAGGATTTAACAATGTTATGATAATTCTTTGCAATTTTTTCTCTTTCAGTGCTCCATATCAAGCTGCACAAAATTCCCGTCCAAAAACGAAAAAGTTGTTGACGAGTTCAGACTAACATACGGCGTTAGCGGGAGAACTTTTGACTGTTATTATGACCAAAATGATCCCAATTTCGGTCCTATCGTTTACCCAGAGCGGGACTGGTGGCCGACCTTCCACTCCGTACTTTGGCCGGTACTAGGGATTATACTGAGCATAGTGTTACTTGCTGTTTCCATTTCCCGCTATAGGAGACTCAAGACAGAACACTGGTGATGAAGAGGATAGCCTGTCTTTTTATTTAAGTAAAGAGCCTATGTGCCTTGTGGCATTTATACACCAGATATGATTTTCAGGAAGAAATAAAAAAAATTTGTGATTTTTTTTCGAATATGGAAACCAAGGAAACCGCCCTGCGAGTCTTCTGTAATTATCAGTCAAGGGCTGAATGGATCACTCAAGCATGGATCAATGGTTTCTCAGTTTGCACTCTGCAGTGGATTTGTTACTGAAAATGTACGTGTGCGGTGTTGGCTTGTCCTATGCAGCACTGGGGCCTTGCAACATAGCGTTGCACTAACTGCAGTTTAAAGTGACTATTAAACGTGAATCTCTCAGGCAGGAATATTACCAAACACCAAAGCTCAGCGACTGTCTTTTTCTTTTCAGCAATTTTCTCTCTAGCAGGTATATAGATAAGGGTAAAATTACGATTTATAAACCGTTTTCGAGTTCTTGATTCCTTTTTTATTCTAACACGAGTAAAATTTTCATCTCCATTGCTAGAGTGGCTCAAAATTCAAGCACCAGTTTATAGATCGTAATTTTGTCGACAGTTTAAGACGTGGCGTACCTTGTTCGAGGGAAAAGTGTTGAAATTTGCAGGAAATTTCAACTTTTCTATGCAAAGGTCTCACATACTATGTGACTTAAAGTTCTCAACAACCTAGTGATAGCTCTCGACTACAAACTCTTCTTTTTATTAAATGCATTTTATACAGTTTTAGTTGTTATTTTAGATTCGCCAAATGTAAATAACATTACTTTAAATATTTGTGTGCTGTGAAGAATGTGTGACTAGTTGACAGATTATACTAAAAGATTTTTTTTAAATCTACATATTTTGTAAATAGCTGTACATACCAATAGTTTACCTTGACGTTTAAAAATATCTCAGTTGCCTAGAGTTATCCAAGCAACTTAAAAGCAAAGAATAAAATCATAATGTAGATTATAATTAGACACTCAGGATTTTCACAACCCATTTTCTATTAGTTATGGTGGAGCACGGTAAATAAATGAAGCACTGGAGTCACTGCGCCACTATACGGTAACGTTATCTAGAAAGACGGGTGCCATGTTTTAAAGACAAGGGTGCAATTTCAGGGCCTATCATACAATAGGTGCTTTTTGTAAATATGCACCTGTGCTTCAGTACTGTTTGCCAACATTAGACAAAGTCCATATATAAATGAAATAGAAACCATCAATTGCTCAACTGTAATTTATGACACCAAGACTCACTGGTTTATTTCAGTACATTGAGTTTAAAAATCTGGCTTATTAATCATTCCACTGCTTATATATAGTTTAGATTGTGATCAATGAGATGTTTGAAGACTAACTGAAGACAGCTAGGGAACTTGTTTTTTATTTTTTATATACAGACATGGGTTACAAAAACTTATTCAATTGAGCTGTAAGTTGTAACACCTGGTTTAATTTAGAAAACAAACTCTGTTTACTTTTTACAATTTATTCAGTTCATTATATTCATAAAAAAGCTACATAAATATTGTGATCTGTAAAATTGGGACAGGAATTATGTGACCCTTCTATTAATCTTGAAATATTTTTTTTAAAAAGGAGAATCAGACAACAGATTGTAGATCGAATGGTTGTGAAGAGCTATGTATACTTTCTTCAAGAATTCCCAAACTAAACTTCTCATTTATATGCAAAACAACACGCCGACTAAGGAAAAACATGTATATATATATGGAATGCTTTATACCTGAATAAATGAACTTTAAAAATGCTGATTAGATTACCATTTTACAAATCTATTCATTTTGGTGAAAATAAGAGAGTCACTATAATATGAATATCTTATGAAAAAACATAGCAACAGTGGCTTGGTCATATGATTGTTCTGCCGATCATCTAATCTGTTTACTCACCTACATGCACACTTTTATATGTTCATACTGTGTTCAATCCACACGTTTCATGATCAGTAATTACCCTTCTCTGTGTAAGATGTTGAACTTATTTACTGTCAAATCCTAAAACTGTGTGCAAAATTCTATTGTTTAACATCCATAAAGCGATTCCGGTTTACAATTTTGCCAAAAACTGCTGATCTCCATTGTCCTGAGTATATAATGATAAAATTTCTAAAAGTGATTCACTGTGAAGCACAGAAATGTCTAACTGTTTTATATCATTCTCTATCACTACTATATATATGGAATGAGGAAAGTCTATTATGTAAAATTATATTGTTGGAAATGTCTAAAAGTTGCTCTATATAAGAAACCAATCTATCACCACTAAAATGAAATGGAAATACAGATTATAATACAAAAATTCAACTATCACCACTAAAATTAAATGGAATTATATTACAAATAATATCAAAACTGTTGGTCCTCAGTAAAATAACTGCATCTTTAAAAAATGCTTACAATGCCTCTTCGCGTATGAGAAATATCATTAACCCATTAATCCATACTGACTTAAATTTTGATAAGTTAATTTGGTACCAGACCCTGCCTGTGTTACAACTTGGCCTTATAAGCCAGTGCTCCCATGGGATCCCAAGCAGGTAGTACTATAGGCTCCTGTTGTAGCACATCCAAAATATCTTGCTGTATGTGTTTTCTGTCAATTACAACTTCGTACACATATTCAGAAAACCAGTCATCTGTCATGACCAAGTAACCTGAAAAGAAAACTACATTTAAAATTGTGAATCATAACAAAATGTGCCATTTCCATTGGGGATAGCTGCACAAATCACACAAATCAGTAAATAAGAAAGCAATGCTTGCAGATATACTTACAGCATAGTACTGAATAAACAAAGAAGTCAACAGTTTAACAATTGACAGATAAAACTCAAATTTAATCTAAACAGATAAAACTCAAATTTGATCCAAGGCATTAACTATCAAATACAGTCACTTTAAAGAAAAAAGTCCCAACTGATAAGCTGAAAAGACAAAGATTCATAAAGCAAAACAAATGTTTACAACTCAACACTGCATGATATCGGGCCAAACAATGAGCTAAATAGATGAACAGCTCATTAAGTCAAATAAGTACCATAACAAACTAGTTTCCCATACTACATAGGGCTTTTTCCCCCTATTTTGCATGATACTTGGAAACCTGAGAATCTTTTGTTTCTTATTTTTTATTTATACTTATTCAAAACACTTAATTGCAACCAAAAGATTTAAGTTTCACATTTATAACATGAATACTATTGATGCCAAAAGACATGGCAATGTAGTAAAATGATTCTATATTACAAATGCTGTTCCCAGTACCTTTTCCTTGGCCGTCTTCTCCCCAAGAGTTCTCCACTCTCCATTTAATGGTCTTATTATTCTGAAAAGTAATTTGATTTTCCATGTGAAACAAATTATGATCTTCCAACAAAAATAAATTAATTAACTAATTTGGCAATAAAATCCAGTCAGTAATTGCAGGTTATAAAAGAGGGAGGGGGGGGGGGGGAGATACAAAATATATGAAGATAATTATGACTACAGCAATTAATGTATTCTCTCCTTAAAAGTGGCATTCTTAGGAGGCAATTGCATTTACAAGGGCTTCAACATAGTAATCTTATCAAAACCCCTCTGACTGAAGACAAAACAAGATCTTGATGGTTAAAATAGCGCTATCATACCTGGCCATAGATGCATGGCAACTCTAAACTTCCTCGTATATAATACCATATCAATTATCTCTATGTCTGTAAATAAACATTTCACTCACCTCTATTGTGACTGCTGTAAGAACCATGGCATGTGTCATGAGAGAATCTCCAAAGATCAACCTATCCTCTTTACTCAACACTTGCACTGAGGTACCAAACAGCAGCTCGTAATCATGTCTGAAAGAATATACATAGCGTAGGTGAGTTAACAAAATAGACACTGAAAGCAACTGTTGCAAATTTAAAAACACCAATCAGACCCCTGTATTTTTTTTACCACTGAATCAAACATTTTTCTTTGCTTTACTTGCCTTTGACCAGACCAATGCAAATATGTGATACAATAAATTCAATTTCTTTTTATCAGAAATGCCTTTTTCATTACAAAAAATTTGGCTCACTGTTCACAGTGTAAAGTAAGCCAATAAGTGCCTTTAAGACATAGATGTGGTACTGTATTAGTGCTGGTGTCAGAGTAATGACGCTGGGTCAGCTATACAAGGGTAACAGTACTGTAGTGTTTGTTTACACACAATGTGAATTTCTTTTGATAAACAGATAATAATAATAATAATAAAAGTTACAGTAATCAGTTAGGGAAACTCACAAGGTCAGGTCCTGATATCCAAGCTTGCCATGGAAATGTTTACCAACATCGCAGCCAAACCAAACAGGCTACAAGAAAATAACAAAATCTTATGATATGCCATTAGATTGTAACAAAAATGATTTAATCTTACACATTGTATGAAGTTTTAATCAAGAGTTGCAAAAATTTATACATATGGCTAAGATGATTATATACAAACTTACAATACAATCTGAACTTTTTTCAAAGAAAATGCCTTGCTTATGATACGGAAAATGCAACACTAACACTAACCAATTTCACAAGGGATTATTTTTCTAAAAATGTGTTTGTTTTTTTTAGCCTCTTATCTGACTCATTTTGGGGAATGGCACAGAATCTAGATAAAAATTTCATTCAGAGTGGTTCAAACCCACAACTCTGGTCTTATATAACAACAATACTTCACAGCCTATGTAACAGTAAGTATGGTGAAACAAAATTCAACACTCATTGGTGAAAAATTGTTATAATCAAGGTCAAAACAATAAGACCTACCTCATCATTTCTTATTGCTTCTGCTGCCAATTTCTTCAAGACATCCACAGGCTGATTGATATACAGGACCTTTTTACCAGACATGTTCCCCAAGTACTCTACAGTGTACAACTTATTGTAGCCATGATTTGTGCGAGGATCATTCACAAGGCAAATCTAAAATAAGTAAAAAGATTTAATAAAATTAATTTTCTTCTAAAATAACTGCCTGGATTTTAGCACAAAAAATTGTAATGAGTGAGCAAATTTAAATACAACTGATAAATCAGATAGGTTATAATTAGGTTCCACCCATGTCAGATAATACATATTTATGAGTCATTCAAAGTACCGTAATTTTTTTCTTTATATCTCACCAATTACTTTTATACGCAGATTCTGTTTTCATACCTTATCCTCCATGTTGAAGAATGGTTTCACATGTTTTCTGTAGAACTCTCTAGGGGACATGGGCCCCACCTTCTGATAAGCTTTGTTTTTGTCATAGTACTCCCATGTTAGGGTATCTGGTGGGGTGCCAAGACAGATGGATACTATTCTGTAAATCTAGGAAAAAACAAACAATGTATATCCATTGGAATATATCAAATTTTTTCATAAAATAAGAACTTAACTTTATCACATTGTTGGATGTGACAAGGAAAGGGCCCTTCCCATAAATTGGGCCCATTTAAAGGGGGTGATGTATTTTGTCCTAGCCTTGAAGAATGGCATTGTTTTAAGTCCAGAATTTAAATTTGCATGTTTATTAGCTCAACTTCATCTCTCCTAATCTTCATAAATATGTCTCAGTATTACTTTTTTAAGTGAAAGTACTAAATGTATTAATTTAAGGAATAAAAAGATATGTTAGACAAAGATGCAGTACCTCTTCCATCATAGTTTCTATGTCTTCTTGGATTTCTGCATCACTTTTTCCTTCAGCTACAAGTTTGTAAATCTTGTGACAATACTCCCTGAGCTACAATGAAAACTCTACTGTAATTTATTTAATCTAAAACTCAACTCTTTACATGCAAAGGTAAACATCTTTTATGTTCTAAAATTAAATTATTCCTTTTTCTGGTGATTAATTTGTCTTAATTTATCAATGACTTTACTCTTTCCAAAAGTCTGATTATTGTCTAATATTGAAAAACAGTAGTCTGCGATGAAAATATAAATATCAGTTACTTAATGGATTTTAAAATCAAATGGAATGTTGTTTAAAAAGTCAGTATGGTAACTCCTTTGCAAATAGGAGAAATATTGCACTGTGTATATCCTCTTATAAATCATAGACCAAATAATTACTATAATAGTACGATGCTTTAAAGGAGGCTCAGCCAGTAGTTAGCAGATACCAAGAAGAAAGCTACCCCTATACTTACTTTGTTTTTAAGCAAAAAGTTCAATCTTCTTGAATTCTCTGAATTGTAGGACTCTGGGAAACATTTTTTGGGCATAACACCATATTTTTCCACGATGTTGACCAACATATTCCACTGGCCGCCATCATTAATGGGATCTGACAGCAGGTGGCATGTTAGGCGTCCGTCTGCTGGCTCTCCTCGCCTAGCAGCATCTAAAAAGGCATGGAGCATATAGTTGCTCCTTTCAACCTTTAAAATGAAATTGTTTTTAAGAATACCATATTAATTGGATGAGAGCTATTCTACAAACTGCAGCTTTATTTGTTAGTGTATTAAAATAAGTTATCACAAACACATTCAATCTGCAATGTTTTCATTTTTTCTCCATTATCAAAGTCTGTCTGCCCCATAAGGCAGAGTCTGGCAGACTACAGTTGTTACAATCACAAAAAAAATTGCAAAATATATATAATTTTAATATTTCACTATGCTCTCCTTTGTGTTTATAAGTGCAAATGCTCATCTACTTTCGCAAAGTTACTTACCTTGTCCCAGAAGAAAATGTGGGTTTGACTAAATTCAAACTCTTCTATATTGTATTCCTTAAGGAATGGCACCCTCATGCAGTTGAACAGTGCAAAGATCCAACATCTGCCAGAGGCTTTTTGATTTGTCACAGGTTTGCCTTCCAATGAAATCTTGTAAACAGATTGATGGAAAATGCTAACACAAATTACATGCCTCTACTTAAAGGAATATAATATAAAGGATATCAAATATTTAAATATTAAAATTAATTTAAATTAAGATTAATACATTATTTTTTAATAATCTTCCCTTTAGCATCAAAGTATACACTATCTGAAAATTGCTAAATTTCCAAATAGTCAACAAACAACCCTTTAGGTCTGGTGAATACTAATATATTGTGTTCTCTTATCTTATACTAGGTTTCAAGTGTTAATGGTTGTATATATCTGTTATATAATTGACATTTTTTCTCTCTACTCTAAATTTGTCAGACTACCTGTATTATTTTGAATAACATCTGTATAATAATTATTATTTTCAAAAGTCATGCACAAAACAATTTACAAACGTATTAATTTAAATCAATATCAGTGTGTTTATAGGACGTGTAACTCATACATACCTTATGACTAAACACATTGCTCAGTTCAGTAAGTTTGTTTCGCTTCAGAGCAGCTTCAAAAGGATCATGTCTAGTACAAACGTTTTGTGCCAATAGGTTCTTTGGATCTGACTCAAATTTCTCTCTATATTTCTGGATATTAGCATCAGGGATTCCTACAACTAAAAAATGCTGCCATTATTATCCTATGAAAATTAGAACATACAGGTTACCTCCCAACAGCAACTCAGTACTATGAAACAAATCATGTAACATCATCAATCATCATGTCAACTGACAATATATCAATTAGCTTTAACAAGCCAGCATACCAGTATTTTAGCAGACACCCATCTTTTACTAAAAGCATGTCGTTCAATTCCTACTGGTCACGATAATACTAGTATGTTATCTTTGTTAAAACCACTCATTTGGAAAATGAATCAAGCCCAAAGACTGAATTAACATCAGCAAAAGGTTTCAAATTCACCCCCTACTGGTACTTTCCCCCTTGCAATGTCATGCTCAGTATACCTGGTACAAAATGGAGCATGGCCTCATATCTCCATCCTGAGGTTTCAAGTATTAACAGTAAATAAACTCTACAAAACACAATGCTCTGCAAAGGCATTAGTGATACAATACTAGTAAAGGATATATATATTATATATTATCCAGAAGACTGAAGGCACACTTTGCCTTCAAAGTAATAGTGTGTTTAACTACATGTACTTGTAGTGTTACATACATATAACAACACACACAGCAGCAATACAACAAAAAAAAAAAAAAAAAAAAAAAAAAAAAAAAAAA